CGACCTGAGCCAGCGCCCGCTCCGGAGCAGGCCGACGCGGGCTGGGGAGACCGCATTCCTTTGGAGGTCCTGGTGAAAATTTTCGGGCTGCTGGTGGCAACCGACGGGCCCATGCCGTTCCTCGGCAGGTACACTATCCCATCTTGTGTAAGCTCCAGGTGGATTTCTGGCGGTAGCCCACGGCGAGGGTGGCTGGGCGCCGCAGAAGATGAAAGTGTCTTGGTGCGCATACACTTGTGCTCCGGCACGTATTGGGAATCCTCTTGGAACCCCGGGAACTGGGCTTTGAGCAGAGGTGCCCGCTCGGCTGTAGGTTGGGGGCAGATAGGCTCCCCATTAGTAAAACTCATCGCTGGCATCATCCACGAAAAGCAGGGCACTTTCAACAAACTGTTCTCCAGGGCTGCGCGTGTATGCCGCCACTGGCACGATGCCGCCTCCCAGCCCACTCTCTGGCACACCGTGACTCTGTCTTCCCCGCTGGCTGGCCGTGCTGTCAAGGGCAATGTCCGGGTGGAGAAAAAGCTTCTTGCTTCCCTGGAGTGGCTCATGCCCAATCGGTGAGGTGCCCCTGCTCTTAACCCTCGTTCTGCCTATGTTGGCGTGGAGGACACTGGCTGCAGGGGTAGCGTGGAAACACTAGTGCAGCTGGCCTCTGCTGTCGCCCAGGTTCTCACAGCTTCAGAGGCTGACCCTCATCCACTGGAAGTCTCAGGTACACCCTGTGTTGAAGGTGAGTGCTCAAGGCTGTCCTGCACACAAATTGTGACACTTGGGGTTGTCCAGAACTTCCAGGGAGTGGTTCAGTGCTCCAAAGGGATGCCTGCCTTTCCTTTTGTCACCCTTCAGCAGGAGGGGGCCAGCTGTAGGGGCCCAGGTGTGCCTGGCATGGGCAGAACACAGGTCAGAGCTGGGGCTGTACAGTGGGATTGCCATGACAACTAGTGTCTTTCTCTGTAGACCTTTTCCTGCCTTCTCTCCCCATGTGGCCTGTGTCTTCACAGCTGGTTAGCGAGTCCTGTCCTCGGCTCACCTTCCTCAAGCTTTCAGACTGCCACGGCGTAACTGCTGACACTCTGGTCATGCTAGCTAAAGCCTGTGGCCAGCTCCACAGCCTGAACCTACAGCACTCCATGGTGAGCCCTGTGTCCCAAGGGGTCCTGAAGAAGACTGAGCCCAGGTGACCCGCACCCCTGTCCTGGGTTCCCAGGTGGAGTCCACAGCTGTGGTAAGCTTTCTGGAGGAGGCAGGGTCCCGAATGCGCAAGCTATGGCTGACTTACAGCTCCCAGACAACAGCCATCTTGGGTGCACTGCTGGTAGGTTTGCAATGGGTAGGAGCAGAGCCAAATGCTGAGCTAGCAACTGCCAGGCCATTGACCCACTGTGTTTCACCTCTGCAGAGCAGCTGCTGCCCTCAGCTGCAGGTCCTGGATGTGAGCAGCGGCATCAACCACAACAGCACTCCCCTGCAGCTGCCTGTTGAGGCTCTGCAGAAAGGCTGCCCCCGGCTGCAGGTACTTGATGTCCTGCCTTTCCCACCTCTCACCCCCCTCCCTCCCTGCAGCTTGAGCCTTGCCTCCAGGTGCTGCGGCTGCTGAATCTCATGTGGCTGCCCAAGCCTTCTGGGAGAGGGGTAGCCCTGGGACCAGGCTTCCCCAGCCTTGAGGAGCTCTGTCTGGCCAGCTCCACCGGCAGCTTTGTGAGCAACGAGGTTTTGGGTCGCTTGCTGCATAGCTCCCCCAACCTACGCTTGCTGGATCTTCGTGGCTGTACCCGTATCACACCTGCTGGCCTGCATGATCTGCCATGTCAAGGTCAGTTCTTCCAGGGTGATGACTAGGCAGGTGGGATGTGGCCTTTGCCTACTCTGTGGCCCATGCCTACTTCTCTCATGTCAGAGCTGGAGCAGCTGCACCTGGGCTTGTATGGCGTATCTGACCGGCTGACACTAGTCAAGGAGGGCAGCTCCTTGTTGACCCAGAAGTGGTACCACACCCTGCGGGAACTGGACTTGAGTGGCCAGGGCTTCAGTGAGAAGGATCTGGAGCAGGCACTGGCTGCCTTCTCAGGCACCCCTGTGGGCTCACATCCAGCCCTGTGCTCCCTCAACCTCAGGGCTACCCGGGTCACACCAAACACAGTCAGGTCAGCATCCCTTTCCCTTGGAACTAGTACTGCTTCCTGCCCTATCAGTCTGAGGCCCAGAGGTGGTGTGCCACCTAGCTTGATGCTTGCAGGGTCTGAGAAGGGGGTGCATACCACCTTCTTAGCACTGGCCTTGGGGATCCCAAGGTACTGGGCTTTGGCCTGGGTTACTGTGAATGGCAGGCCTGGTTGTCTGCAGCCCATCAGAGCCCAGGTTTTCTGGGCAGCAGCTCACTTCCCTCTGGTCTTCCCTATCCACAGCGCTCTGATCAGTAGCTGCCCTGGCCTGCTGTACCTCAACCTGGAATCCTGCCGCTGCCTCCCCAGGGGCCTGAAGCGAGCCTACCGGGGTGTGGAGGAAGTCCAGCGGTGTCTGGAGCAGCTGCTCACCAGCCATGCTTCCCCCAGCTAGGTGGCTCCTAACCAAACCTGGCTGCCCTCGCCCTGCAGTCTTTCCTAGTTTGGGATGTTTGAACATGTTTGTCTCAATAAAATGTTTTTAGGAGTTTGGTGTGGTCCTTGGAGTAGGCCCTTGGGTGAGGAATGGATCCTAATGGATCCTGTGTCATTGGGGTGGGCCTAGGGTTCCTGATCCAGCAGCTACCCTTGCCTTTGTGTGCTCACTGCTAGGTTCTACCCTTGTATTGTGTGTCCCATCTCACCATGCTGAGTGAGCTGTCTGGAAGGAAGTGGGGACAGAATGACTGGAGAAGCAGGGACTCTGTTCTGCCATAGGGTTCTTGAGGGGTGCCTTTCTGCACCTTCCTATGCAAACTGTAGGCTCAGGGTATCCACCCTTCAGTGAGGACTGAACTAGACTGCACATGGGATGGACAGCCAAAAAAATGCACGTCCATGAAGAAAGAGTGGTCAACAGAAGCCCCCTTCTAGAACCTGCTGCCTAGAACTTCTAGAACCTGCTGCCTAGAACTTCTAGAACCCATGTGAGGCCAGCCTGAGGTGCTCCCTGGCTTCATTCCCCTGGGAGCTCCTGCTCCTTCACAGGCTACCATCCTGGAGATTTTGTTCCAGGTAGGAGTGTGACTGGGTATTGGGCAGTGGCAGTGGCTAGCTACCAAGCTGATGACCTCTGCCTAACCCAGAACCCCAAAGGCTGGGCCAGTGGCCTGCCCACATCCTCCACTGGCAGCCGCTTCCAGCTGTGGTCCCTAAGCCTCTTCCGCACGGAGCGGCATCTGGCCAGGCGCCTCAAGAATAACAGCTTTTACCCATTCACATTGCAGCAGCCTGGCGGTGCGAGGGCTGAGGGCTGAGGGCTGAGGGACCCGGAGGAGGGTAGCTGGGAGGGGGGATTGTGCTGGCCAGCAGGTACTCCCAGGCTGTGCCCAGGGCACAGGTGGCTGCAGTGGTAGATGACCAAGGTTGTCTTCACCTGTACACCCGCAGTCTTTGTGCTAGAGTACTACCTGGACACGCTCTGGAAGGGGACTCTGCTCTTTGTCGTCTGCCTGGTCCTGGTCAGTTTAGACATCCTGAGGCAGGTCTGCTCTTCTGGTCCCAACTCCCAGCACTGAGCACCCTCCACCCCTTCCCTGAGCCACGGCCACCATATGTCCCTATCAACATCCCCTCAGGCAGAGAAGCAGGTGACTTGGGGCATCTCGGCCTATGGCATGTGCGTGGGCCTGTGGCTGCTGGTCTCGTCGCTGCCACGACGCCGCCTGGTGCTGAACCATACGCGTGGCATGTACCATTTCTCCATCCAGGGCCGCACAGTGTACCAGGGGCCCATGCACCTGGTTTACGTGCGCCTGGCACTCAGCTCCGATGGTGACTGCGGGCTGGGTTGCCCGGTGGGTGGGTAGATGGGCGGGAGAGGACAGGTTGCCCCTGGCCTGGTCCAGAGTCCCACCCTGAATGCCCCAGGTCCCCTCTGTAAGCCCCACCTTGCCCCGGGGTCCACCCTGGAGGTACCCCCTGAAGGCCCCACTCCTGAGTCCCTCCCTGAGACCACTGCTGAGCCGCCCCGCCCCTCACCAGCCAAAGGAAGGCGCTTCTTTCGATTGGTCCTGTGCGGCCACAAGCTGGAACCACTGGTGCTAGTTCAGCTGTCAGAGCGCTACGAGGTGAGTCGAGCTCCAGACACGCCCCCTCTTCTAGAGAAAATGTTACTGGTCTGTGTTCGGGATCTTTGGGTGGGGCCATTTCGCACACAGAGGAGCGAGAGCGGCCCTGGGGGGACCGTGCTAGAGATGCCCAAGAGATGCGGTCCAGTGCCTGGATACCCGACCGTCACCCTTTTCCACAGCACATGGAATATCTGGGACGTCACATAGCCCGAAAACTTATTATCAACTACTTCGACTACCTGATCACGTCTCATAGGCACGAGATCCGCCACTGGCCGCTGGGGGCCGCCTTTAGCCCAGGGATCGTGCGGCGGAAGGCCCACATTTGAAACAAGACTGGATGCTTTGCTGCTACCTGGATTTGTGTCTCTGAGCTTGTTTCACTCCCTATTCACCAGCGCTGGAAGCCCTTCCACATCCACCCTGGGCTTTGAAGTCCCACACACTGCTCTTCCTCTCAATAGAGCTGCCTCTAGCTTCCAGCTAGGTCACTTTTTGTGTTGTGGTTTCCATCCTGGATCTTTCACAGTGCAGACCTCCCAGGACCTCATAAACTGTCCTTCCCAGCCACTGGAGCAGACCCCAGAGCTTGGAAGAGGAACATGGTGTTCAGCTAGGCTCTAAATGACTGGGCTTGTAGCCTGGTATTGTGGCTCACACCTGTAATCCCAGGACTCATGAGGCAGAGGCAAGAGGATCACTGTGATTTAAAGGCCAGCCTGAGCTATGTAGTGGGTTCAAAGCCAGCCTGAACTATATATGGGGACCCTGTCTCAGAAAAGAAGGGGCGGCTGGGTATTTAGCTCAGTGGCACCATGCCATTCTTGAAAGTACAAGGTCCTGAGTTTGATCCCCAGTACCAAAAAGAAACGGGGGGGGGACTGGGCCTTTCTGTTGTGATTTGAGGGACAGGAGTACTGAAATGGCTTCACTGAATAGGGTCCAGGAGTCAGAATCTGATGAGTCCAATCTGGCTCAGGTGCCTGTCCCTAGTCCAATCAGCAATGTGGTTGGGTTTTTTTGTTGTTGTTTTTTGTTTGTGTTTGTGTTTGTTTTTTTTGTTTTTTGGGTGTTTTTTTTTTTTGGTGCCATGGATCAAACTCAGCAGCTTGTGCTTGCAAGGCAGGCATAGTGCCACTGAGCTAAATAGCTGGCCCTCCTATCAGCAATGAGAGGGAGGCAGAGCCAGAGGACAAGTCCTGGGCCTGCATGTTCATCCTGGAATAAAAATACCCCAAAGTTGCTACTAAACCTCTCCTAGGGAACAGGCATAAAGAATCCTTGGCCAGGGTTCATAGCACTTGCTCTTTGTGCCTTTTGGGAACCCCTTGTCCAGTGCCGCACTGTAGCCCCTACTTCAGTGCTTGAGGTCTCTTGGGTATCCACCTGCTCTGGAAGCAAAAAAAAAGCAGTGGGCCACAAGTCCCAGGATGAGCAGTCCCTGCCACCATATGCCTGGCTCTCTGGTCAGCACACTGGTGACCCAGGGCTCCAGGCATTGTGTCCCTTAAGTCAGAACTGAGCACATAATTTGCAGGGCCTATGCAAAATGAAAATACAAAGCTCCTTGTTAAAAAGTTTTTATGGGCCAGGGATATAGCTCAGTGGTTTCAGCACCTGCCTCGCAAGGGCAAGGACCTGAGTTCAATCCCCAGTACAAAAATAAATAAATAAATAAAGTTATTATGGGACCTAAGGTGTACAGGACCTAATGGCAGAGCACATACTCAGCATATAGCAGTGAAAGAGGGCCTGGATTCAATCCCCAGCAGCAAAAGCCAACAAAACAAAAAGAGAGGGAAGGGGAACAGGAAGGAGCCCAGGTGAGTGAGAAGGACAGGTGGGGGTTCCTGTAAATCCCACAGCTCCAAACTCTTAGTCCTTGCAGTGGGAAATCACTGGAGAGCAGTAAGCAGAGAGGCCCTAAGATCCAGGAGAGGAGTAGTGAGGAAGGGCAAAAATTGTACAGGTTAGCCAGGTGTGGTGGTGCAAACCTGTAATCCTAGCACTCAGGAGGCTGAGTCAGGAAGATTGCTGTGAGTTTGAGGCCAGCCTCAGCTACATAGTGTGAGTTCAAGGAGACCCTGTCTCGAGAAAAAAAAATATGCAGGCTGAGAAGGGACAGGGCAGGGCCAAAGGGAACAAAAGATCCAGATAGAAAATATACCCCTCAAGAGTTGCTAGCTGAATATGAGCAAAGCAATTCCCTGAGTCCAGGGCTTATGGCCTGGGCACTGGGGCAGGAGGCCATGGGGAGGCCAGGTTGGGAATGGAGTTCTAAGTTAGACCAGGCTAGAGAAGCTTATGAGACATTTCAGGAGAAATTTCATTTGTGATGCTGGGAGTAGAACTCAGGGCCTCATGTGTGCAAGGCAAGCACTGTACTGCTGAGCCATGTCCCTAACCCTACAGATTTTGTGTTTTGCTTTGTCTTTGTACCTGGGATCAAACTCAGGACCTTGTGTCACTGAGTTAAGTCCCCAGCCCCCTACAGAGATTTTAAAAAGACAGACACTGGGGAGAAGGGGGAACAGAAGTATAGATCTGGAGCCATCATTCCCCAGGAGGTCCATAAAGCCAAGGTTCTGCACGAGATGTCCTAATGATACAGTAGCAGTAACAGAAATGATGGTCTAAGGATGAAGCCCTGTCATCTGATATACAGAAGAGAGTTCCTCAGAAAGAAGAGGACCAGAAACTAAAGAGGGACAGGGGACCTGAGTCCAGCAAGATAGGAACCCAGCCTCAGGGAAGGGGGCTAGCGGTGTTGCAGAAGTGAGGAGGAATGGGAAGAAAATAAAAGTCATTCATGGAGCTCAGTGAAACGAGGAAAGAAACAGGATGGCCTTTACAAGACAGAGGTCTTCTATGATCACCTTTAAAGGCATATTAGTGTACAAGTGGAAAAGGTCCAATAGAGATTTACTGTGAAGCAGGTGATAGGGTACCTGTAAGTGGAGGGTATTAAAAGGTTTTAAAGAAAGAAAAGAAGTTGTGAAATAATCTTTCCAGGGAATGGAAAAGTAACTGGGGAAGGACTGCCTGGGAGTGTGGGGTGCCCATGTCAGTTGTGTGTCATAAATGTGAAAGGCCAATAGTATGGTTCTGTGTTTTTTGCTAGAAAAACTTGCTGCTCAGATGCTAGGGCAGGCACTTTGCTAGGACAGTGTGGTAAGAGTGACTAATTCTGGCTGTAGAAGCCAGGGTGGGCAGGAAACTGAGGATAGGGCTTCAGTTTTCCATTGCTATACCAACAACCACTCTAATGGCAAGTCCTTACAAATCATTGATCTTTCTCTCCTGATTTGGGGGCTGGATGGGCTCAGCTGGGTAGTTGGTTCCCTTCCACCTTGTAGCTGGTATCACTCATGTGGCTACACCAGCTGGGAGCTTAATTGGGGCTA